GGGTGAGGGTGAGGGTCAAGCTAGCCAGCTCGAGCGAGTCAAGCATGGCATGCCCATTCCCACCCGCCCTCCCACAACATAAGAAACAGTGATGGCACAACTGGGGCTGCGCGGGCATTTCAGTGTCGCAGGTCCCAGAGCGCTGACTTCCAGGTCCCAGAGCGCCCCAGGAACGCCCCAAGAGAGCCGAGACGCCCCCGAGACGATCCGAGGGGCCTTGAGTCGCCGAAAGATCGTTCCAAGACGCCCAAGATGGCCTCCAGACGGCCGCAGACGCCGCCAAGAAACCGCGGGGAGCCTCAGGAGGCCCTCCAAGAGCCTGGACAAGCAAAAACCTCCCAGGCATTCGTCACCCCAGGGCCTCCTGGAACGCCCCGGCGCCCAATGAATTGGCGAGCTAAAAACGTGCGCCGAGCCAAAGCGGGAGCGCAACTTTGAGAAAATTTCGCTCGGCGCCCAAGCGGGAAGGTCATTTCATTCACTTCGAGCGGGGGGGGGGGGGGCCGCGGGGCCGCGCCCAATTCTTGCCATGCACTTTTGCGGGGTGGGCGACAAGAACAGCTATGTGGGCAGGGAAAATCAGCATGGCATTGTTTCTGACAAGTAAGGTGGCCACTCCCGCCTTGGGATTGCCCCAGAAGTCCGCGCGCGATGTGTGCCGCGCCCCATTCCTGCCACGCATTTCGCATCGTCGACGACAAGACAGGCCATGATGAAAGGAAACATGGCAACTCTGTATTGTTTTTTACAATCAGGATGGGAGGGCCCGCGGCCCGCATGGACGTCCGCGCGCGATGCGCGTCGCGTCCCACTGCTGCCACATATTTCGCACCGTCGGCGACAAGGCAGGCCATGCTGAGATGAAAAAACAAAGACTTTGCATTGATTTTTTTACAGTCAGGATGGGCGGGCCCAGATTGACTGCCGCGCGCGATGTGCGCCGCGTCCCATTCCTGCCACGGTTTTCGCATCGTCGACGACAAGAAAGACGATGTTGAGAAGAAACAACCACTTTGTTTTGTTTTTTTACAATCCGGATGGGAGGTCCCGGATTTGGTCGCTATCGGCCGGAATACGAGGTAGGTGGGGGTATATTCTGATCAGGAACAAGGATGAGGGTGAGGTGGAGGAGGAGGAGGAGGGGGAGGAGGATGAGGAGGAGGAGGAGGAGGAGGAGGACGAGGAGGAGGAGGAGGAGGAGGAGGAGGAGGAGGAGGAGGAGGGAGGAGGAGGAGGAGGAGGAGGAGGAGGAGGAGGAGGAGGAGGACGAGGAGGAGGAGGAGGAGGAGGAGGCGGCGGAGGAGGAGGAGGAGGTGGAGGAGGGTGACGGTGAGGGTGAAGGTGAGGATGAGGGTCAAGCAAGCCAGCTCGAGCGAGTCAATCATGGCATGCCCATTCCCACCCGCCCTCCCACAACATAAGAAACAGTGATGGCACAACTGGGGGCTGCGCGGGCATCTCAGTGCGAGTGGGGGATACCCCAGGACACCGCATTGACGTCCGCGCGGGATGCGCGCCGCGTCCCATTCCCGCCACGCATTTCGCATCGTCGAGGACACGACTGGCCATGTTGAAAGGAACAACGGACACGTTCCGCCCTCTCACAACATAAGAAACAATGCTGGCGCAACCGAGTGCTGGCGCGTAGTGGTGGTAGTAGTAGTAGTAGTAGAAGTAGTAGTAGTAGTAGTAGTAGTAGTAGTAGTAGTAGTAGTAGTAATTAGTAGTAGTAGTAGTAGTAGTAGTAGTAATAGTAGTAGTAGTAGTAGTAGTAGTAGTAGTAGTAGTAGTAGTAGTGGTAGTGGTAGTGGTAGTGGTAATAGTAGTAGTAGTAGTAGTAGTAGTAGTAGTAGTATAGTAGTAGTAGTAGTAGTAGTAGTAGTAGTAGTAGTAGTAGTAGTAGTAGTAGTAGTAGTAGTCGTAGTATATTTTGTAGTAGTAGTAGTAGTAGATAGTAGGTAGGAGGTAGAGATTAGTAATAATAGTCGTAGTAGTAGTAGTCGTAGTAGTGTAGTAGTAGTAGTAGTAAGTAGAAGAGTAGTAGTAGTAGTAGTAGTAGAAGTCGAAGTAGAAGTAGAAAGTAGTAGTAGTAGTAATGTAGTTAGTAGTCGTAGGCGTAGTTAGTTGGTAGTAGTATAGTTACTCGTTATTATTATTAGTGTAGTAGTAGTAGTAGTTAGTAGTAGTAGTAGTCGTAGTATTAGTAGTCGTAGTAGCCGTAGTAGAATAGTAGTAGTAGTTAGTAGTAAAGTAGTGCAGGAGTAGTAAGTTAGTCGTAGTAGTGGTAGTCTAGCAGTAGTAGTAGTAGTAGTAGTAGTAGTTAGGAGTTAGTAGTAGTGTAGTAGTCGTAGTAGTCGTAAGTAGTCGTAGTAGTAGTAGTGGTGGTGGTGGTAGTGGTAGGAGTAGTCGTAGTAGTAGTACTAGTAGTAGTAGTAGTAGTAGTAGTAGTAGTAGCTCAGTAGTAGTAGTAGTAGTGATAGTAGTAGTAGTAGTTAGAGTAGTAGTGTAGTAGTTAGTAAGTAATAGTAGTAGTAGTGGAAGTAGTAGTAGTAGTTAGTGACTAGTACTAGTAGTAGTAGTAGTAGAGTAGTAGTAGTTTTTTTTTTGTAGTAGTTAGTAGTAGGAGTAAGTAAGTAGTAGTAGTAATAGTAGTAGTAGTAATAGTAGTAGTAGTAGTAGTAGTAGTAGTAGTAGTAGTAGTAGTCGTGGTAGTAGTAGTAGTAGTAGTAGTAATAGTAGTAGTAGTAGTAGTAGTAGTAGTAGTAGTAGTAGTAGTAGTAGTGGTAGTAGTAGTAGTAGTAGTAGTAGTAGTAGTAGTAGTAGTGTCACCCGTCGTCTATGGCCAGCCTGTTTATGGCCGACAGTCCCACCAGCCCTTTAGGGCGTAGGTGGTCTAGAGAGTTTCCTCTGCCAACCCCCCTTCTTTCCCTTCGGGGAGGGGTTTACCCCTCCCCTTACCCCTCCCCACTGACCTGGACGGGGCGTTCCGCGACGCGTTGGGACGCCCAAGATGGCCCAAGACGGCTCCAAGAGCGAAAAGGCGAGAAAGCACAAAACATTGATTTTCCTTAGGTTTTGGAAGGATTTTGGCCTCTTGGGGGGGCCCAAGAGGCGATCGAGGCACTCTAGAGGGGCGAGGCTAATTGGGGACCCCCCCTTCTTTGATAGATCTCCTCCAAGATGGCCCCAAGAGCGCCCCGAAGGCTCCCAAGAGCGCCCCAAGAGCGCCCCAAGAGGGCCCCAAGAGGCCCCAAGAGGCCCCCAAGAGGCCTCCAAGAGGCTGCCAAGAGACCCCCAAGAGGCCCCAAGAGAGTCCAAGATGGCCCAAGACGGCTCCAAGAGCGAAAAGGCGAGAAAGCAAAAAACATTGATTTTACATAGGTTTTGGACGGATTTTGGCCTCTTGGGGGGCCCAAGAGGCGACTCGAGGCACTCTGGAGGGGCAACGCTAATTGGGGACCCCCACTTCTTTGATCGATCTCCTCCAAGATGGCCCCAAGAGCGCCCCGAAGGCTCCCAAGAGCGCCCCAAGAGCGCCCCAAGAGGGCCCCAAGAGGCCCCAAGAGGCGCCCAAGAAGCCTCCAAAAGGCTCCTAAGAGACCCCCAAGAGGCCCAAGAGGCTCCCAAGACGGCCCAAGACGGCTCCAAGAGCGAAAAGGCGAGAAAGCACAAAACATTGATTTTACCTAGGTTTTGGAAGGATTTTGGCCTCAAGAAGGGCCCAAGAAGCGATTCGAGGCACTCTAGAGGGGCAGCGCTAATTGGGGACCCCCCCTTCTTTGATAGACCTCCTCCAAGATGGCCCCAAGAGCGCCTCGAAGGCTCCCAAGAGCGCCCCAAGAGCGCCCCAAGAGGGCCCCAAGAGGCCCCAAGAGGCCCCCAAGAGGCCTCCAAGAGGCCCCCAAGAGACCCCCAAGAGGCCACAAGAGGCTCCCCGAGATACGCAAGAGGCCCCCGGGACCGCCAAGAGGCCCCAAAGACGGCCCAAGAGGCCCCCAAGCTCGCCATTGTCCTCCTCCTCCTCTTTCTCTTCCTCCTCCCTCCTCCCCCTCCCTCCTCCTCCTCCTCCTCCTCCTCCTCCTTTTCCTTTTCCTCCTTCTCGTCCTCCTCGTCCTCGCAGTCCTCCATCTCCTCCTCCTTATCTTCCTCCTCCTCCTCCTCCTCCTGCTCCTCCTCCTGCTCCTCCTCCTGCTCCTCCTCTTCCTCCTCCTACTCCGACGACGACGGCTCCTCCTACATCCTCCCCCTCTTGGGGTATATGGCGGCTCACCCCGCCCTCTGTTCTTCTGCATGCTCCCCCGCTTCCCTCATAACCTCCACTCCCCTGGGACTCATTTCTGGACGGGCTGGTGGGGATACGCGAAGCGTCTAGAATTTGGTTGGGTTTCTATACAGGTGTACGAAAACCCGATATAAACTACGCGTCCTTCACACTTGACTTATGGCCGGCACGCTGTGAGGAATCCTTCAGAATTCTCGAGGAATCCGCAGGAACTCTCCCGGAAACCGAAGGAATTCCCCAGAAATCCTAAGGAATTCTCAAGGAATCCTAAGGCATCCCTGAGGAATCCAAAGGAAATCATCAAGAATCCGAAGGAATCCCTGAAGAGTCCTCAGGGATTATCCAGGAATCCTGAAGAAATCTCTTGGATTCCAAAGGAATTCTTTAGGAATCCAAAGGAAGCCTGCAGGAAACCTAACGATTTTTCCAGGAAGCTTCCAGGATTCCGAAAGAATCCGAGGGAATCCTGAAGGAAA